GGATGCTTCTGCTGTTAGTGTTTGGTTTTAATCACGGGGGAGGAGGGGAAGCTGGTGCACAGCTTTTGCAGATGAGCCAGCAGCCCTTCTGACACCTCTGGAGTGTCAGTGAGTAAAGCCCTGCACTCCCTCACGGAGAGGGGCCAGGGTCCTGCTCTGCCGAGCAGCAGCTGGGCACTGGTTGGGTTTGATATACATGGACACAGCGAAGGAGAACTGCACGGGGGTGGAAAGGAATCCTGGGTCTTGCACGGAGAAAGCAGAACCCCCACACTTGCACCCAGTAGCCGTGAGGAGATGGTGAGACGAGCCCAACTCTGCCCACCCTGCAGGGCACACGTGGTCAGCACAGGATCACTGAGGTTGGAAAAGACCTCTGAGATCACTGAGCACAGTGCACCCTGGCACTATTAACCTCAGCAGTGTTCATCACCTCATTGAGGTGATGAACAAGGAGCTGGTGGTGCCTGAGGAAGCGGGTCCAGCTCAGTTGGAGCTCCTGACCAGCAGCAGTCAGCAGGATGAGCTCGCCAGAGACCTGCTGCTAGACCAAGCAGGGTCTGCAGAGGGACTGGCTTTCTCTGATAGCTCCTGGTGGCCCTGACAGGCTGTGAAGGAGATTGACAACAAATGCTCGGCCTGGAGGAGGAGATGAACACAATATTGTATCCTGAGAAAAAGTTTAGCTTGGGCTTTAAAGGTTAAGGAAGGGAATTACTGCCTCCAGTCCATTCATCTGCCTTTCTAGGAATGATGAGTGATGGGCCTAGGTCATCACCTGGGCCTGAGTTAGATATCTCAAGAGCTGGCACTGAACATCTGTGAGCTCTGGCCCTGCGAATCTGAGTTACCCTGGCAGAGCCAGCGTGCTGACAGAAACTGCATTCCTGGACAGCGGCCTTAGTTGAGGGGACATGAGCTAAACAGGGAGAGGCAGGGCAGAAAATGGGGATGAAAAAAGCTTTGCCAATGACACAAAGAGTTAACCTGCTGCTGGTGTCAAAACCAAACTGGGATGTGAAAGCGGAATGGAAAAGTGACTTATCCCATCAGGTCAAATGTCAGGAGCCCTCCTGAACTCATTTTCTCTCCCAAGAAAATCTGGATAATCTAAATCTGGGGTTCATGCATGGGAAAGCAATTCACCAAGTGATAGAAGGGCCTTGACATGCAGAAGGAAGAGATGGAGGCCTCTGCAAACCTGAGAGAGGGGCTCTGCTTCAATCAGGCTTTGTAGGGACAACAAGGAAGAGATCCAGCTGTGACTGAGCCAAGGGAGCTGCCCCTAAACAGCACATGGTGTTGGAGCAGGTGAGCTCTGGCCAGTGCCAGCTGTGGAGAGGAAAGCTGCCTTTGCTTTCCTGTAGTGCCAGGGACATGTGTCTGGAGGGCACGGAACATCCACTGGGTCCTGTGGAACCTCCTTCATCACCTGTGCTCTGCCCTGCCTGAAGGAAGGAGTGGTTAAAGGGCTGATCCTTCAGATAAACACCTTCTACCTAAGCGTGGAAACTCAGTGTGGAGAAGGGACTCTGCAAAGCGTGGGGCTCACTGCAGCTCCACAGGGCATGGGGATGGTTCCCCTGGCAGCACCAGGGGAGTGGAGGAACAGCTGGGTGCCCAGGAGTGGGGGTGCGCAGCCCTGGCAGTGAGTGCCTGTGGCCGTGCATGACTTTTGACAGTGCAATGACAGGAGGGATCCGAGTTAGAGGATGGTGCCCACCCTCAGTGCTCCAGCCCTTTTCCCAGGCCATGACCCCAGAATGCACTGGGAAAGCCCATGTCTTCAGAAGCTGGCACCCACCACATCTCAGGGTCCTGCCAGTTCTGCCTGTTCTGCCCCTTTCCCCCTGCAGCTCATCCCTTAATCACAAGCAGCTTGGGGAGACAATGCAATAACCACACCAAAGAATCAGGCTCGTTCCCCTTTGTCTTGCTCTCCTTTGAGGCTCGGCAGTTGAGGCGAGCCCTCACGCCCATGGCCCGGCCGTCACACGTCCGACTCGCCGCCTGCCAGGGCAGCCAAGCTCCTCGGCACGAGGGCAGCGTGCCACCAGCACCAGGTGACCGTGGCCCAGCGCTGTGCGAGGTTGGCAAAGCAGAGCTGGGTGGGCTGGCACGTGGGGCTGCCCTCTGCTCCCCAGCTCTGGCCCTCACTGAGCACCTTGGCTCTCAGCTCTCACGCTTTCACCTCCAGACAAACCATCATCTCAAGCGGGACCACTGAGTTCTCCCCAGAGACGGAGGCAGCCCCCCTCCTCCCTCCAGCACATGGCATGGAGGCTTTTAGGCTGGTTTTAGCTGAGTTCACACAAATCTCGCCTTCCCCTTTCCCAGCCCCCCTTCCCCGCGCAACTGAACTCAGCCATTGAGCCCAGCGAATGGTTTATTTCCCAGGTTAGCACAAAGCAGGGGTCTCTGTGTGCCCCTGGAACCAGCAGAACAAAACGCACAAAGACGTTAGAGGGCCATTTGTAACCAAATCCCAACACACCAGATACTGTTGGGATTATGTCAGAAATATTTTCCCAGAATGCCTTCCCCCCATGCTCCCTCCTACAGATGTTCGGCCCCCACACCACAGATGTTGTTCCTCTTGCAAAATGAGCTTTCCCCTTTCTCTCTGAAATGCCCCTGATGTTTTGCACATTGTCTTTGCCGAAGTCTCGTTTTCACCCTGCCCTCTGCATCTTCCCCTTCACCGATCCCTCACTGACAAATGTGGAAAGGCCAACCCGCCTCCTCGAACGGGGATGAGGGGACGGCAGCAGGGCTCTGCAGGGATGTGGGCTATGGGATGACACTGTCTCTCTTGCCTTGTCCCCACCATGCCCATCTCAACAACCCTCTCCCTGTTTCAGCTTCAATGTGTGACCTCCAGGCTCTGCAGGCCTGCGTCATGGGACTTGCTGGACCTCAGTTCCCTCAGACGATGATGGAGGGGTACAAGCCAGACCCCTTGGAGGGTCCTGGTGCCTTCCCATGGGCTTGGTGTCATGCTGCTCTCCTGTGCTGCATGCTAAGCTGGAGGGGGACAGGGTCTCCTTGCTGCTCCACAGCTGCTTTGGGGGAGAACATCTCCTCACTGGCCAGGGCCTTTGGCAGCAGGGATTTTTCCTCAGGGATAAGGGCGCGTTTTGGGCACGTTTCAGACACATTTCATTTACCAGCGGGAATGGTCAGACCTTCCCCTCCAGCACCAGCAGCCCACACAGAACATGCAAGGCAATGGCCTGGCAGCCTGTCAGGGCCGTTGCCCTGTGTCGGCTCCAGTCCCTGTGACCGACCGACCGACAAACAGACAGACAGACCTCCGTCGGCAGCGGGCTCACACTGCCAGCGCCCTCGCTCTCCGGTGCCGGGCTCCTCCCCAGCCCGCCCGTGCGGAGCCGTCCCGTTCCTGCCTTGCCCCGGCTCCGTGAGCTCCGGCGGGAGTGCGGGCACCGGCCCGGCAGCAGCGCGGGAGCTGCGGGTGCTGCAGCCACGGCAGGCTCCGCTGACCCCGCACACCGAGCGGGCAGGGACACGGGCCCCGCTGACCCCGCACAGCCCGGGGCTCCGTCGCGGCACCAGGTCGGGGCGCAGGGCTCGTCTTCATCCTTCCCTCCTCTGCTAGTAGCGGCAGCCGAGAAAAAACATTTGTTCCGACACACGCGGGGCTGCCAAGCTGTGTCAGGCGCTTTGGTGGCCGGGGCAGCGACCTCGACCGCTTCCTCTGCCAGCAGGACGGCCGAATCCAAGAGCCGCGGAGAGCGGAATCTCCCAAGGACTTCAGGTGACACCTCCAGTCCGGGACATCGCAGCTCTTTTATGCGTTACGAGACGTTTCTTTCCCGTCGGTGCTTTTCTCTCTCCCCAACAGGTCAGACTTATACATGCAAAGAAATCCCAGAGCGGAATTCCGGAGAGACAGAAACCGGAGGAGCTGTCCCGACTTTTGGGGCATCTCGTGATTTACACCAGCGTGGCCCAGGCAAAGCCCTTTACTCAGCACCTGCTCAGAGTAAGAATCCGAAATTCTGCTGGTCTCCCAGAGAGCTGGAGTGCAGCATGGGGTTTTTCTTCAAAGATAGAGTTTATTGCTAAAAATGTTTTGATCAGTGATAGCTCATATTTACATTGATATGTTTTTCAAGGAATATTCAAGTAAACATTTCCAATAGTTTCTGGCATAATCTCTAGCTTTTTTTTTTCCTATACACAAACGTTAAAAATAAATAAACTGTACACAGAAAATTTCCTTTAACATCTCTACACCACTATATGTATTCCCACACAAAAAAACCAATTCCACTCTTTCATAGATTTGTACTTTTCTTTAAAATTTCCTTCTTAATTAATTGTTATACACTTTTTTAGAAAAACACTAGAGAGCTTGGCAAATTAGTTCAAACATCAGTGACAAGGTCTGAAGAAGATAAAAAAAATACAGCACAGAGAAACAACCACTCAGGGATGCTGCGGTTCTTGTTTTTCTTTTTTTACACCCTCCGCCCCTTTTCTCCTTTTGATAAAGACATCTTTACAAGAAATTTCTGCCCTTCCCTTCGGCAGGGAAGTGCTTGGGTTCTGTGGGGATGGGTTTAAAATGTGGTCCTATGTCTTTAAAATAATAATAATAATAATAATTATAATAATAATAAAAAAACAGCTGCAATTTCTCCCCCTTTTCCTTTAAAATCTCTCTATTTACACGGCTGGTAGGTTTTTTTCCTTTTTTTTTAAGTTTTTTTTTTTTAATTTTCCTTTTGTTAGAAGGCTATATACGTATAAAAATAGACATCTGATTGTAGTGCTTTACTGTGCCTTTGGCCTGCCCTGCAGTTCCTGGGTTCGCTTTCACCCCTTTTGAATAAAATAATATTAAAAGAAGTCCAAGTGAAAAAAAAAAAAACCAACATAAAATAAAATAAAAAAGAATAACCCCCCCCCAAAATTAACAAAAAGAAAAAATAAAAACCAAAAAAAACCAAAACAAAACAAAAAAAAACCTCCAAAGCGGTTCATCTTCTCCCACTTCGCTCTGGCGGGAAGGGAAAAAAACCACCTCCCAAAAAAACTATCCCAAAAAAACCCACCCGAAAAACCTCCCCCTCGCTAAAGTGATCCGGAGGAGGAGGGCGGCAGTGCAAGGGGCCGGCGCGGCTTAGCAGGAGCACTTGCACTCGGAGATGAGCGGGTACTGCACGGGGATCCAGGTGCAGTACTTCTGACTGGACCAGCCCTGGCAGTGCCAGCGCAGGAAGGTCTTGGTGACCGACTTGACGGGTTTGCAGAACATGCCCTCGGGCAGCGAGCAGGACTTCTCGGCCAGGCAGTTGCCCTCCTTGATGTAGCGCGGCCAGAAGCGCACCCCCAGGTCCTTCCAGGCGTAGAAGACGGGGCAGTGGGTGTGCGCCCAGAGCCACTGCAGCACCTTCCGCCGCGCCTTCTTGCCCAGCCGCAGGCGCGGGCCCCGGGGCGGCCCCAGCTCCAGCCGCCGCAGCTCGGCCGGCAGCGCCGCCCGCCCCCGCCCCGCCGCCGCCGCGGCGCCCGAGGCGTTGGCCGGCCCCGGCACGGCCACGGCCATGAAGCCGGGGTCGAAATGGCTGCCCAGCTTCTTCCTCAGCGTCCTCTCGTCCAGGTCCTGCTCCTTGGGGTCGTACTCGGGGTCCGGGTGCTCCACGATGTCCTTCACGGGCAGGTTGTCGCTGGGCGAGGGTCGCAGGCGCAGGAAGGGCTGCCCGCCCGCCGGCAGCCCCAGGCAGAGGCAGAGCAGCAGCGCCCGGATCGCCGTCATGCTCCGGGCGGGCCCCGGCGCTGCTCCCGGCGGCCTCGGCTCCTAGCGCTGCCCGGCGGCGCCCGCCGGCTCCCGGGGGCTCATAAATAGGCAGAGACACCAGTGTCCGGCGGGGCCCGTTACTTTAAATAGCCCGGCCGGGGTTGTGTGACAGCCGCATCTGAGGCTCGCCCCGCGCCCGCGGCCGCTGGCTCCCGGGGCTCCCCGCCGGGCCGGCTCCAGCCGCGGTCGGCAGCGCCGGGGGGTCCGAGCCTCCCCCGCGGGGGAGGGCAGGGCACGGCGGCGGCCGAGCCTTCCTCCTCCTCCTCCTCCTCCTCTGCCGCCGCCGCCGCTCTCGCTCGCTCCCCCCCAAAATTCACAGCGGACTCGTCTCCATCGCCATGGTGACAGCTGGGCCGAGCCCCACGACAGCTCGTCTAGACGGTGTGACAGGGTTTGGCGTGAGACCGGAGCCCGAGAATAAAACCCTCCTTTATAGCCGGGCGCGCCGGGCGAGGGGGCGGGAGGAGGGTCACGGCGCCGGGGCGCTCGGGCGGCCCCTGCGCGGGCACGGCCGGGGCACGGGGCTCAGGCGGCGGCGGGCGGCGGCGGCAGCGCCCGCGGCCCGGCCGGGTTCCTCCTCATGGCGAGCGGCGGGGGCGGCCCGCGGGCCCCCGGGGCATCCTCGGCGTGATGGGGCTGGGGGGCCGGAGGGTGTCCCCGGCACCGGCGAGGCGGCGCGTCCCGATTCCCTGGCGGCTCCTCGGCGGGGACGGGCAGGGGCGGGCTCGGCCGTCGCTCAGCAGCCCCGGCGACCCATGCCGGTGCCGCAGTTGCTGCCGCTGATCCGGGGAGCCGGTCGTCCGCGCCGCACTCAGCGCATCCAGCCGCGGCGCCGCTCCGTGCCCTATGCTGCTTGCTCGGCTCGGCTCGGCGCGGTGCAGCCAGGCCCGGCCCGGCTCGGCTCGGTGTCGCCCGGTGTCGCCCGGTGTCGCCCGGTGTCACAGCGTGCCGCCCGCCGCCGCCTCCCGCCCGCCGCGCTCTGCCGCTCCGCCGCTGCCGCCCAAGTTAAATACGCGCCCGGCGCGGCCGCCCCGCCCCCCTGTCACTTTCCCCGGCGCTGAGTGACAGCCGGGTCCTGCCGCCACCCCCGGAGCCGCCCGCCTCCCTCCGGAGCCGCGTCCCACCTGCGCTGCCGGCCCCGGGCTCCTCGGGCGCTGCCACCCCAGCGGCGGGAGCCCCGGGGCGGCGGGCACCGCGCGGACCCCCGGCCGGCGGGACCGTCACTCTGCCTCTGCCTTCCACGGCTGCTTTGCTGCCCCACGTCTGCTTCTCCACAAAAGCCCAGCCGCCACCAAACCGCCTTCCAGCTTTACACAGAGCTTTAGTAGAACAGGGTGCCATGTCCTTAGAGGCCCTCTGGGACAGCACACCAGGGTAGGACCACTCCAGCCATCAGCACCCTCTGCAAGGGAGCCTGCAGCCTTCCAGGAGCATCACTCTCACTCGGGAGAAAGCGCCCCTGCATCCCTCAGTGCAGCATGGTGTGATAACCAGCCAGGTAAAAGCACTGGCTCTTCCTTCACCTCCTTCTCAGCTGTGTGGGGCTACATCTTTTTTTTTTGAGAAGAGCTGGACCCACAGCCTTTGAGGCACAGAGACTGCCAGCCTGGTGTGTGTCAACAGTGGGAAACCTCAAACCCTCCTCACCTCCTTTACCTCCACATTGCTGAGCACTGAGCTCACCCTTGAACCATATCCAGAAATTGGACACACAGCTGGTTCCTCCAGGCTGACAGTGTGTAAGAGCATTCCTGCCCATGCCAGTCACTCTCTCCCAAAGCCATGAGATAACCAGTTACCCACTGGAGCCAAGGCAGGGTGCAGAGGGACTGAGGTGGATCGTGGGGCCAGTTCCTCACCACAGTGTGCTTCTGACCTAGCAAAGTGAGGGGCTGCAGCGACAGCTCATCCCAGAGCATCCCTCTGGCACATGCTTGGGGCTGTACAGGGCTGGCTCCACTTACTAGGCTAAGTAACAGAGCATCTCCCCTGGCTTCTGTCTCAATCATTCCAGAAATGCCAAATGTTGGGTTCAGAGAGGAAACATAAACAAATCCCCCTAAAACAGAGAGGCTGGACATCCAGCCCTGAGTCTGAATAGAGTGACAGCATCTGCTGGACACTGGGGAGACAGAGCTGCTGATCCCAGTGCATCCCAGTCATTTTACTGTGTGCAGGAGTTTCAATGTCTCAAGCCTTTCTTCCCTCACTCTGTATTTCTGCTTTCATGATCCCAGCTTGGTTTGCTGAACTTGGAGCTTTTCTTCGCTCATTTGACTCACACATATTCTGCCATTAGACCCATGGAACTGTACTGTTTCTGAGCTTTTTCACCATTAGCTCTCAACAACTTGCAAAAGAGATGGGTGTTGCTATCCCCTGAAGCTGAGAATTATCCGTGAAATGTTCTCGTTATCTATTTTCTGACCCCGATGCACATGCAGTGCTTGAAGTGAAGGCAACCTGAATGTGCAAGATGTGCTCTGCCATCTCTCGCTGCTGGGTGGGAAAATGCAGTGCTCTCAGCAGTGTCAGAACTAAAGCAAACACAGAAATGAGAAGCAGCTCAGGGCAGAGACACCCAAGAGTCAGGAAGGGGGCAATTACTCAGCAAGATGTACTGCTGTTGGCACTGCTGCCTGAGTAAATCCTGGTGGGGTGATTAACATCTGACTGTAATTGTAATAATAAAATCCGACATGTATACAGCATTTTTCATCCTGAAGGATCCCAAAGCACTCAAGTAACTTAACTCCTTCAGCTGTCTTCTGGACTTTATAAACATGCTTCTTAATCATCCTGCCCAGGCAAAGATGGCTTTGCTCTGGCCACCCTCACCTTGCTTCAACAGGTCCCCCATGGGAGAGGAGAGGCTCTCCAGGGTGGGCTGGAGAAAATTTCCCCTTCTGGAGGCAAGATTCCTGGCAAATGGTGCTTGGCATGTTCCAGGGTTAGCGAGGGAGAAGGCACCAATATTTTCAGGGGCTTCAAAGACTGCAGTGGGCTAACTGCTCTGCTTTTGTGCTAGCCACTGTGAAGCATCTCACTTGGTCTGTCTTCTTCTGAGCTTCCCAAGGGGGAAATGAAGACAACTCCTAGGCAGGAAATATAAGGCTTCATTCTGTCTGCAAGGTCCACCATGAGAGCCAAAGGCTCCTTCTTCCCTTCCCTTCCCTTCCCTTCCCTTCCCTTCCCTTCCCTTCCCTTCCCTTCCCTTCCCTTCCCTTCCCAAACCTTCCCTTCCCAAACCTTCCCTTCCCTTCCCTTCCCTTCCCAAACCTTCCCAAACCTTCCCAAACCTTCCCTTCCCAAACCTTCCCAAACCTTCCCTTCCCAAACCTTCCCTTCCCAAACCTTCCCTTCCCTTCCCAAACCTTCCCTTCCCAAACCTTCCCAAACCTTCCCCATCCACATTCCCTGCTCCCTGTGGGCACACAGCCCGGCTCCCACTCTAGCCCTTAATTAAAGGATTTCAAGTTGAAAAGGGTACATATCCCCTATCAAAATAATTCTGTGTAAGAAGAAAGGTGTCATGTTAAAGGCACTTTCTGAAAGGCTAAAGTGATTTTCAGCTGCTTATTTTTGCTTCTTTTCCATATCTGGCATCCCTTTGCCAGCTAAAGAAGATCTGGAAGATTTTGTGACAAAGTATAAGGGCATTTTTAGTTCATGTTTGAAAGTGTTCTCACTGGAAGGTTGTCAGCAGGTAAACTCCAAGTACCAGCAAAGCATCAGTGATGCTCTCTTACCAACAAAGTTTTTCATCTGACAAAGTGTTTTATCTTTTAGCTTGTGTCGGACAGAACAAATTGAACCCAAAGCCAGATGTAAAGATACCAAGCAAAACTGTGTTTGTTATAAAGTCATTCCTATTCCTTCAGCTGTAGGCACAGAAGCTTCACATCCACACCTGAAACCCTGGAAAAGTCTCTTGCCAGGTGTGGCACAGGAAGATCACACTTTGAAAGATGAGACTGAGAGAATTGAAGGGAGGAAGAGGAGGAGAGAAAAAGAGAAGAAGAAAAGAGAAGAGGAAAATAGAAGAGGAGAACACAACTCCCAGCCAAATGTATTTTGTCACTTTTGGTCGTATTTTTCATGCTGCTTTCTGTGTGTTTAAGTTTTCCAGGATTTCTTTATGCTTGAGAAATAATGGTGATGGGCTGGCATGGCAAATATGAGGAAAGGCTTGGATCTGACAAGACAAAAGCTCTAATTTTCACTTAAAGAACCAAAAAAACTCCCAATGGCGCATCAGGTTTTCATTAGAGATATGTTTATTTTCCAGTAGAAATACATTACCCTCCTCTCGTCAGTGAGTCTGAAGGAGCAGTTCTCAAAGTCTGCCACGGCAAGTGGCTGGCAGGGCTCCAGGGCAGCCTGGGCAGCAGCTCAGGGCTGGCTGGCTCCTGCTGTCTGCTGTGGGCAGGGCACATCCAGGGCCTGACAGCAGCTGGCAGCCCAAGGCCTGGTGAAGGCGACAGGGACAGCAAAGGCCACACAGCCACAGTGTCACCATAAGGGTCAGATGAATGGGACATGCACACACAGACACACAGAGTGTCCCTCGTGTTCATCACAGAGGTACTGAAGTTTAATTTATGTAAGTAGCTCAATAATCCCAGTTTTAATGAAGTTACTCACCAGTTTCTCTTCAGGAGAATGTGATAGGATGAGATATAGGATGGCAAGAAGGTGGCCCCAGTTACCTTCTGCTAAAATCTATGTAGGTCTTGGACCTGCCCAATTCATCCCCACTGTCTGCTCCTCAGCCTTGGGCCACCAGCCCCAGCAATCCCCCCCTCTCCCCCCGCTGCCCAGTGCTGCCCTTCCCCAGTGGGACCAGGAAGGAGCATCTGGCAAAGGTGTCCTCTGAAAGTCAGGCCAAGTGTCCCAGTGGAACCCTCCAGCTGTGCCTGGGAGCTCAACACTCACCCTGCACTGAGTTCCAAAAAGCTGATGGGGAAAATAGCACCCCTGAAGCTCCAAGGAGGAGATTATGTGGAGTTTAGGGGATTAACCCTAATGCTAACTCTCAGAAATAAATTTTCTCTATCTCAGGTAGGGTGGTTTTTCTATTCTGAGCTTTTGTTT